TACTATATAGAGAATTAAGATATTGTATAAGGAATAGGAAAACGGGAGACAGGCCACCGGATATAAGGGCGTGGCCGAGCGCGTGGTGTACGGCCTCTATGCTGTTTCGGCGCGTGGTATGCGTATACGCGAGGTTCTTACCAGATCAGGTAATAGGAAAAGGGGGCAGCCGGTAGGTGGCTGGAGCGGGACAGGATAGGAAGCGGAAGCGAGACGGGAGCGGAGCAGGGTAGGCAGGGCAGGAGGCCGGCCAACAGTAGTAGGCCGGTGCAGATTGCTGGAGTTGTAGCAATCTGCGGCAGAATTTCGGTAGGTAGGGTGTCGCGGTCGATACCGTGACATTCCTATAGCTGCGGCTATTTTTTCTTTTTTTTCTTTAATAAGTTATCCGGTAACTCTTCCTATAGCTTTTAGGAATTAGTAACTAGCTAGTTTTTTTAGCTCTGCGCCCGCTGTAGCGTTTTTAGCCTTTTACGCTTCTTGTTTTTTATTAAGGCGTGCGAGAATTTCTCTTGCGCTTTATTTATACGTGGCTATAACTCTATTAACCTATACTTCTATATCTAGCAACTTAGTTTTACTATTAGTTTATAGCTCGGGTATATTAGTTTAAAGTTCTAATTATAGTTTAATTATCTAGAACGCCTTATCTATCTCTAATAGGTAGTTAATCTCTATACTCTTAACTTCTATATTTGTATAGTAGTTATCTATAGGGTTACTATTATACTTTTTATTCCTTATTATAGTAATAGTATATCCTTTTACCCTTTATATTAGATAATACCCTATTACCTGCTTATTTAACTAATAGGTAAAGCAGTTATTATTATAGCACGCGGTTTATAATATAGAATTATAGCGGTCTATATTTAGCTTTATTATAACTACTGCTATTTAGGTGTTCCTAGAGCACTTACTTATAAAGTATTCCTATTTTCTATATAATAGGTATACGCTGCTGCGCTTTCTATTTTACCTTTCTTTATCGGTAATTAGTCTACTTTTCTAGTTATTATATTGTTTTATAATATTAATCTCTATACGATTTCTATAGTTGCGGTTGGTTACTTTTAGCTTTAGTTTAGCTAGTTAGGTATAGGAATAAAGTCCCCTTTTATCTGCCCGTTCTAATCGTTATTTATACTGTTAACTGTTAATTTATATTACTATTTCCTTAAGTTTATAAAGTATTAAAGGCCTTTTACCTTATATAATTTTATTCTTAATATTTTCCTTAAGACCTCTATAGTACTATACTTACAGAGCTTTATCTCCCTATAATAGCTTAGACGCGATTTATATAAATTCTAAAGTATAGCGGCTAGTTAAGCCTTTTTACTTTAGAACTACTATTTTCTATTCTGCTGTCCGTTTTTTATTAGTATCTCCGAAGGTTATCTAGAGTGCTAACTTAAAGTATCTATAATTGCTAAATATAATATTAGTTTCTAGTTTCCGATTATCTGTATTACTATTGCTAAGCCAGTTTATAAGTATTAGGTTAAACTAGTTAAACGCTTTTTTCTTTAAAAAGGTGGCTGCTATATAGACCTTATCTAATTTAAATTCGAGGTTGCTTTAGTTTATGCGCAGGTATAGTCTTATCTGCGTTATAAACGCTTATAAAGCTCCTTTTTTACTAGTAAACTTTTTAGGTTTATTTATTTTATAGCCTTTATAGCTAACCGCTCTGCTAGTAGTAAGCTCTTTTTAAATAGTTTAGAGGTTTTTCTATAAGGCCGCAATCTTTTTATTTTTAGTATTGCTAGCTTTTTCTAGTACTTATAGCTATATAAGCAATACCTATATACGTGTTACTACCTTAGGTATAGTTAGAGTTAATCTAGCAGTTATACTACCTAAAGGGGTTAGTAGGGCTATCCTAATTAATTGTTTATATATAACTCCTTTAATATAGCAGTATTTAAAGTATAATAGGTTATTTTTTCTATACCTTTTAAGTGTTATATACTAAGGCAGGGTATAGGTTAAGTTATTATTAGGGTGCAATAGTTTTTAAAAGGTAAGGTAATAATTAATTAAAATATAAAACAGGGTTATTATTTCTAATAGGTAGTATTAAAGTTTTAAGTTAAATATAAAGTTTCTATTTATATAAAGAAGCGTTTTTATATATAAAAGCTCTATTCTAAAAAACCTATATACTTTTTATACTTATTTATAAGCCGGGCGAGTCTGTTCTTTAACGTAATCCACAAGTTAGTGGCCCGCACAAGCTAGTGGCCC